GATAATGGACGACATCTATTAGACAGTAGACATGCTAGAAAAAATTAGAATTTTTTTGGACAAAAATTGAAAATATTTAATTTGAGACAAATGAAGTACTACCTTCGCCCCTGAGATTTTTTTAATTTTGACTTTTTGCAGTTAACGACTTTCGATCAACATTTGACATATAATTAAATAAAATAGGCATGATATCTTAACTAGATAAAATATTTTGTAAAACAAATCTAATAAAATTGATGGGTATAAGTTATACCTGGTCCGAAGACCCGAAAAGTGACCGGTCGAGTCATGATCGGTCAAAAACTAATAATGTTCGGAAAGACGCGAAACCCTCGGAAAATGTGATTGGTCATGCTGTCCTTGGTAAGTGACCGGTCATATTTTTAGTACGGTCAACAAGGAAAGAATTCGTGTGCTCAAATTTATATTTTTATGGTCATTCTTATTGTTTTTACTTTCCGGAGTATTTTCCTTACCCAGTAGATTTCATTTGACCAGGTCAGATCCGGTCAAATTTATACCATTAAAAATTATTTTTGGATCAATATACAATATCACTTTTAAATTTATGGTTAAAGTATGGTAATTTTGATCAAAAAATGGTAAAAGTGGATAAATACTCGGGACAGAGGTAGTATATGTTACTTGAATTTTTTTTATTTCATTGACTTTTAATTTCAAACACAAACAATTTTTATTTTTTAAAAATATTATGAAAAAAGTTTTTAAAAATAATTAAAAACATTCATGAAAAAATAGAAGAGAAAAAAAGAGAAAATAAGGAAAAACAGAGTAGGGCGTTGGTGTTTATTACCAAAACTACCAGGGCATCGGAACTATTTATCTAAGATTCCAGGAGTACTTTAGTTTAGATTATCATTGTGATAAGACTATCCCTTTTTGTCTCTTTTTTTTAAAAAAAAATATGTAATTTTGAAATATCTAATTTTTATTTTAAATTCTATAGCTATATTTCTAAAAATAATTAAGGACAATTTTTGTCAAACATTGTAAAATAAAATGAACAAAAACAGCATGTCTTTTTTTTTAATAAAAAAACTACTCCGTAAGCACTTACTCCGTATTTTTTATTTAAAAAAGTCTTGGGGTAAAAAAAAACTAACGGGAGAAAATTACGGCGGAACACCGCCGATGACCCGCTTTCGTATTCCGTCTCTGGGCCATAACCGGCCATCCTTTTAACAGCCCAATCCCGTTTCTGACGCGTAATTACGGAAAGTAGAAAAATCTGTCGTGTAGGATTTGTCATTGAATTACGGAGTATTATTCTCTTCTTGCAAAATTAAGAAATAAAATTGCCATTTACGTCACGATTTATATTCTCTATTGGATTCTTATGTTCAAATGGTGTATTTCTTGGGTGTATATTATTTTTTTAGATTTTCTCATATTAATTTTTTTTAATTAAAAAAAATGTTTATCTAAGTAGTAAAGAAATACTCCGTACTTATTTTGCTCATATGTAGGTACACCATAGAATGTGACTATGTTGTTCAAATATGGAGTATATTGATCCAATTTTATGGATAAAGCACAATTAGTTATATTGTGAATTTCATATACTTTGTTTAAATGTAAATTCTACCACGGAGGCACGGACCGAAAGGTCCACGGTGTACTTACTGATGAGACTAATAAGTATTTTCTTAATGTTGAGATAAATATTTTTAATTGAGAAGACCCACAAATTTTTAATTAAGCAATACTCTCTTTGTCTATCATTGATCTTCTCATTTTCTTATGAGTTTTTTTTTAAAAAAATACTAAACTCACAAACATAAGAGTCTCAAAATATATAAAATTGTCATTTATATATTTAAATTTTACTTTTTAATTGTTTAAAATTATTTTGTTCTCTTGGTGAGATGCAATAAATAATAAAATTGCATATTTTATTACTCTAGTATTTCTATTTTTTTTGTTAGCTTTAAAACTTTTCTTCTCATCTCATTTTTTGACAAATGCCATATTTGCAGATCTTGGGTTATGTTGGTGCACCGTTACATAAATAATTCTGCACAATGCAATCCAACAACACTTCTTGGGGCTATGTGTACCCTCACCCTGAACACCCGCTGAACCTGGGATCCAACAACACTTCTTAGGGCTATGTGTACTCTCACCCCAAACTCGCATTAGAATGATATTGTCTCTTATGGGCCTAGACCTCACGAGCTTATTTTTGGGCAACATGCAAAAGGTCTCATTCTAATGGGTTGAGTTGAACATATTTATTAAAGTTTCCTTTCACTTTTTTCTTGAGTGTGGAGTTGAGTTGTGTCATTGTGGTCCTAAGATTCAAATGTGAAATATAGACATTCTCACATATTTCATATTGTTCATAATTAGATGTCTTAATTTTTATGAAGCCAAATACAAATAATTATTTTATATATTTAAGTTCTTAAAATAAGCACAAATTAGACCTAAGAACCACAAAAAATTGTCTAGAGAATTATGCTCCAATTCCAATTGTTAAAAAGTATGTCCAACGCTAGTGAAGGAATGAATAACATTGTCACGAGTGGTAAAAAATTATTACAAAGACAATACAATCATTGAAAGCGTAGGAGAAAAAAAAGCAGTCAAGCAAAGAACATAAAGTGAAGAGAAAAACAAATGCACCAATGTATACTAGTTCATCACAACTTGTGGTTAGTCGAGTTCCCGAGAGACTATCTCAAGATTCCACTACTTTGTTAGGGTTACAAGTGCCTAAAAACCGTTACAATAGCTCGTAGATGTACCTTCTTGGGGTAGGCATGTGTTGGAACGGTCTGAATTTTGTAGTCGTTCCGGTCCCAACATTGTCTTACTTTATCCCTTTCATTTTGGGCCCAAGACAATTCAGAACAATTTGTGATGTCCTAATTCATAATTTTTATAAAATACAAACATAAAAATTTCAAATATGTTAACTCTAAAATTTAAATTGAAAATTTTATACAATCATTTTAATGAGATCTCAAATAAAAATGTGATAAAAACATATACAACCATTAAAGAATATTCGATTTTAGGTTACAAATCATATGAAATTGAATAAACAGGTATTGTGAATGGATACTTGCTTTACATGTAAATATACAGGACAACAAGACGGAACAAAATACTATTTATCTGTCCTAGTCCCCATGCCATCTAATATAAATCCGTTCACGATGTGTCTTAAACAAAATTTTGTCATCTCAAACAAAACGGGACATTAGAAGGACGAAACTGGGTTTTTTTTGGAATGCAACGACTGTCAGGTTATTTGGTGAAGGCTTTAGAGCTTTGGGCTTTAAGCCCGGTTGGCTAAAGGGAAGAAACATGTGGGGGGAGATTTCAGTTATTAATTTAAAGATTTATTAGTTGTTTCTTATTAAGCATGTTGTTAACCCTTGCTTATATCTTATAACTACCAATCATTTAACTATAATCTTTGAGCACCTAATTAAAGATAAATCCTTGTTGCAACACATGGGGTAGGTTACTAATGAAACCGTGTTAGACCTGGTGTTCTTATTTTCTACTATTTGTGTGTGTGTGCTTGTCCGCTTCCGCTTGACCACCTTTAATATCTGAATCCTAACAAGTGGTATCGGAGTATTGGTTCGGTTAACCACACGGTTACACATGATCCATTGTGGGAAGAAGGCTATCCGGGATTGGTTTTTCTACTGTTTTACTACCATGGTTAAGTTAAGTGAAACCTTTTGGAGCAGCCACAAACAGGGACCACATGTTGTCCGATTTTCTAATTCGATTAAGCCACCGCAGGGACTGGTTTGAATATGATCAGAGGCTAGTTTGGATCTAATCAGGGGCCGTTAGGTCGGTTTTAGGTGAACTTGGCAATTATGGTTTCTGGTTTTGGACCTAGTGCTCGCTGGTTCGGGTTCTTCGGTTTAGGGTTTGATTCTTTTGGAGGTTATTTTGTTTTGGGACACTATTACTTGGTTTTTTCTCTGGGTTTTTTTCTCTTTTGCAATGACTGAAGACGGGAAGTTTCAAATCGAGAAGTTCAACGGTACAGATTTTGCATTATGGAAAATTCAAATAGAGGTGTTGCTTGGTGAGTGTAATTTGGACATGGTACGAGAAGAGAAATTGGCTGGAATGGATAAGGTTGCGGAAGCAATTTGGGAATCAAAGGACAAAAAGGTAAGAGGTAAAATTACATTGTCTTTGACGTGGAGTGTTGCATTTAATATCATGAAGGAAACAACTGCTCGTGGCATGTTAACAGCTCTGTCAAATATGTATAAGAAACCGACTATTGGTATGAGAAACCGTCTTAGCCTCTCCCTTACAAAATAAATTCTCTCAAATAGTAGATTAATAGATACTCATAAAACTTTATGAACAACAATAATTTTTCTCTCAATTAGATCAGAAAAGCTTTACAAATACAACTGACGTAAAATGTTAAAATAATAAGAATAATGGCCTTATTTGAGAACAATGCTTACGATTAGCGTTACCATTTTTGGCTAAAATTTTACTAGGGTAAGGTGACCCACTTGACCACTCATGGCTAAAATAGTTTTTCTCTCATATCATCAATTTTTAGCTCTTTATAAACAACATAAAAATCAATTTACATAATCATCTAAAGATGGAAGAAGTATATTTTGAAATAGCATTGTTAAGGATGCATCAAAAAAATATACCGCAATTGCACACCGAGACAAGATATTATATTTGTGTCTGAAAAGACATAACTCTGGTGTATAGTTGAAATACATATTTTTGGGTGTACCTCTAACATTATTAAAATTGAAAATGCGGTCTAGGATTCTTTTTCGAAGCAATCTCAAAACAGGGCATTATTTCTAGTGTTTTTTTAAACGGTTTTTTCTAGTGTTATTATTATTATTATTAAAATTAAAAAAAATTAGCAGGTCGACAAAAATAAAATAAAATAAAAATCTCACATGTATGTCCTCCTTATTTCTCGCATTATAAATTTATTTATAGTCTCCTTTACAAGTTGTGATAGCCCCCCCCTTTCGCTTCATTAAAATCAAAATTGGACGGCCCCAATTTCTGCCCAACTTTTACAATCCCTAACTTTCTCTCTCTTTCTCTCCGCCATTTTTTTCCTCGCAGAGAATCAAATTCCCTTTTCTCTGAATGAATTGCTAGCTCCAGCCTTTCCTCAATCTCATCGCCATGGCGAGAATCGATCGAGACTCAGTCAAATCAGGAGAAGAAGAAGCCAACAAGGAGAACCAGCAGCCCAGCACCGCCGCAGCAGTCGCCGGATTCAACGACGACTCCTGCCGGACTCCGACCAGCCTACGCGACAGGATTCCGGCCGCCGTCGTCTGCCCTCCGGCTCCCCGGAGACCGAAGAGAACGGTGGTTCTAGGCAAGAGGAAACTGCCGCCGATTCCGTTCTTCGAGAACAGCGCCGGCCGGAAAGAGATTGAGGTTTTCTTCGCGTCCTTCTCGGAGCTTCCCAGGGTCGCGCCTCCCCCTGCTTTGAAGAAGAGACTCTTCGTAAGTCAATGATGTCTCTTATCCTGCGCCGCGGAGTACATAATTCTCTCTCCCCTTCTTTTTTTTTCTTTTTTTTCTTTTTTTTTTTAAATTTTCCGTCGGGTCATGTATTTATAAATAAGAAAATATATGTATGCCTGAATTAGAATTCTGCGATTTATTATTGGAAAAAGAGAAAAAACAAAGAGTTTGAGATCTGTTAGAACTTAGAACTCTGTGATTTGAATTTGTGGGAATTCTGATTGACTAATGTTGTAACGATAAATTTAATTTTGTTAGATTTATCTCAGGGCATACTTTAATTTATATTATAATAATTATTATAATTAGTATAATTATTATAAATCTTTGCCCTCTGGACCATTATGTTTAGACTAATGTTGTAACAGAATTTGAGCTTACTTAATACGAAGTATCCTGTAATTGTAGAATTCTTGCAAGGCTAAAGTGTTTAATTTTGGTGTTAAAATAATTACTATATAATATTAGTGCTTGATGTTTATATTTTAAAATCAATCTATATACGGCTTGTATAGCGTTCGCGTTCTGGATAAAATTTTAACAGCACAGATTACTTTGAAAATGTTAGCGCTAAACGCTGCTCGTAGATAACTTTTTTCAAAATAGGTCCATAGTCTTATAAAAAGTTATCCAAAACTCGTATTTGTAAACGAGATCATGTCATGAATCTAACACGATTATGTGCACAAATAACAATTTTTAGGCATATACAGATGATAATTATCTGTGTTTACAGATGATTACCGTATGTATATGTGTAAATCATCTGTGGGTGCGTCTATGATGAGTTTCTAGCATTTTTGTTGTAAAGAGAGGAATTAAGTTTCAAATGTGTTCATAGCAGTGTAAATCAAGATTATACTCTTGTTTGAGATTTTGATTATATATTGATAATTTCATGTTTTAATTTTTTAAGAAAAAAACTCCCCATGTCCAAACTTTTCTCTTGTTTTCCTTTTAGGAATATTCCATTTTTTCCCTTGATTCATTTTTATGGAAAGAATTACTATTAATTGAGTACATCTACAGGGTAATTTGTTATGCCACAATAACTAAATGTCTTTTCAATGAATAAAAGTTCTCCGTAATTTACGTTAATCTATTTTTTAAAAAAGTTTTTTTTCCTGGACACAGGGGAAAAAAATTAGATACTAGGAAATGATTTGAAGTTTTTAAATACTTTTCTCTAAATGAACTTGACACACATAAGCTCAAATTATTTCAATAAGTTTTTATTTAAATATGAGCATGTAATTTTAAAAAATTATATATTAAAAAATTATATCATTTTTTATTAAAAAATGGCATAAAATTATATTAAAAAACTTTTAAAAAGTAATTATAAATTTTATTCGAAAACAGAGAAATACAGAGTTCCACCAGTTTATAACTAAATGAATCTTAATAGACAATAGAAAGAGTAAACACTTATTTAAACTAAATTTTTAATAGTATTTAAATTAACTTCTTTTTAAAATATTAAAAAAAAACCCCAATAATTGTAGTCCGTATCTTTTTTTCTAACCCAATCTTAAACTTTTAGCATCCCGGTAATGGGCCAGGCAGTTCAGGATCTTGATTGGGTGAAATGTTTGGGCTTCCATTTTTTTTTTAAATCCATAAAAAAAAAGATTCTTCTGAATTTTCAAATTAAAGTTAAGCCCCCGTAGTTTCTGAAAGTTTTCATTTTTTGTGTGGGGCACTTTTGTTGCTTTATGAAAGCAAATGTTTTCAATCTATCCTTTATGAACTCTCTTTTTTCCCCTTTTTTTTGTTTTGTTTATGTTTTCTCTTTTTTTAATGAAATTGTGGACAAATTATCTCAATCTTAAATCTCTTTAGGTTTGATTGTTTCTATATTCGACCTTTTTTCTATATATTGTACAATTAATTCCAACTTTTGATGTTTTCAAAAAAAAATCCAGCTTTTGATGCCAATGCCATGCCGAATTAGATACACAAATACACACATAATTATGCCATGAATATGAAATAATTTTAAAATAAATTGAATTAAAAAAATAGGAAATGTAAGATATTTTTAGGGATAAAACTCTATAAATAAAGAGTAAAATAATATGAAAAAAATATGAATACTAGCACTAGTCTTTTAAAAGGAGGCATTTTTAATGAGTATAACATTTATGTGCCTTTGGATTCTAAATTTTAATGTGGAGTAAAATTATACCATTGATCATTAGTATCAAAACTATACCAAATTAATACAAAAAATCTTCCAAAACAAAAAAAACAAAAAAACTTCACAACACATGAAATAAATACATTGCCAAAGTTAAATCAATGTTACTAGATCTCGCCTCAAATGGACTCATTACCTTGCACTAAAATGTAACGTCCTCCATTCTCAAATTAATTAAATAAAGTTTAAAATTAAAAAAAAAGTAATACTCCTTGGGTTTAATAATTTTTTGAATGAATTCTCCAAACGGTCATTCCTAATAAGGTGTTTTTCTAAATTAGTTCTCAATAAAGAAAATTATCAGTGTCATCCTTTATAATTTAGATTTATTTTCTAAATAGTCTTATGTCGAAAATGTCTATCGAATGTGAGACAAATAGAAGGTATTTTGATATTTTTTATCATTTACACTTACAGTATGTTCTCGAAATGCTCCTTTATAATTAAATATTTTTTCAAACTGATAACTTTTAAGTAAATGTTTTCACAAAATGGAGTCCATGAGCCAACTCGAGGTGAGTCCATTCCTTTAGCAACCACTCACTTAATTTGAAAGATCATTTTGAGAACTTATTCATATTGTAAATGATGAAAAATACAAACTACCTTCTATCTAGCTGTCATTTAAAAGACATTTTTTTACACATGACTATTTAAGGAATATATATTAATTGCAAAGGACCATGTTGGTAATTATTACTTACAGAAGGCTAATTTGAAAAATTACCTTATTAGAAATGATCATTTTGGGTTTTCACTCTAAATTTTTCTACTTTGAAAAATGAGAGATTTAGGGAGTGTAAATTGTATGTTACTTTCTCATTTTATCTTTATGTTATTTCATGGTAAGATAGGATCTGATACTTAATAGTAAATAGTAAATAGTAAATAGATATGATGTGATATGTAAGTTAATAATCTTTATCTTTATATACTCCCTCCGTCTCTAAATATTTGCCACACTTGTATTCCCGAGGCAAAATATCAAATTTTTTCAATTCATTTTATTTAGATATTGGTATAGAAATAAAAAATAAAATTTACATATCAAAAAAGTATATGAAAAGTTCTTCGAAATAAAAGGTGTCAAGAATATTTTATTTTATCAAATAACCAATGAAAACGTAGAAATAAACAAAAGTTCCCGCAAATGCTAAAAAAGCAAATGTTGCAGATAATTTGGGACGAAGGAGTATTAAATTTGAGAGTTAAACTCATAGAATTGCAACATGTGATGAGTCTACATGGCAATATTTTAACAAATCATCCGTCACATACAAATGACTTAAATAATGTGGCAATTTTAATTAAAATATGGATATATCTCATTTAAGTTGTATACGGAGTATATGCCTTATATACGGAGTAATGCTATAACTTTTTTTTGGAAAAAGTATCAAAATACGAGTAAAATATAAAGAAATACCAAAATAAAAGTTTCATATTTTTTATCCCAAAATAGGAGCTACAATTCCAATAATGTCAATATATTACGCCAAAAAACATTATGAAATGGTAATATACAATGTCACAATGTCATAGTGCAAACTCATATTTGGAGAATAAAAATATTGAACTTTGATTTTGAGAATAAAAGTTATGTTTTACTTCTATTTAGGACGATTACCAAAAGTTTCCTATTATACTTATATTACCTTATATATCGTTTTTTTAATATTTTACAAATCATCATCTTTCTTTCTAAGATTATGCGTACCCCTTTGCATATCTTTTTTTCTACTATAGCGAAGATCGGTGAAATTGTGAAAATTGTTTATGATTAAGATTGATGATGTAGCGGCACTTAATTTCATAAGTTCAAGGGGAGGGTGTTATTAGTAATCCATTAAAAAGGAAGTTGATACCATTATTTTTTGTTAAATTATATTATTTCTCAATATTCTTTGCCGAGCTTAGCAGAATAATATCAAAATTTGTGGATCGAAATTATTATTTAGCTACCAAACATGAAGAGATTCCTTTCTTCACTTTAATATATTCCACATAAGATTAAAATCAACAAATCTCTAAATGTTCCGAATCCTTTTTTTTGTTCTTTCTTCATACCATAACAGAGTTTTCCCAAATTCATACATAAATGTGGGATTTACATAATCGATGATATCTCTAAAGGATAAATAAAATATGATATAGCAAATATTATATATATATATATATATATATATATATATATATATTGGTTCAGGTGAGAATTTGATCTTATGAAAGAAATAAGAATGAATCTGGTGTTTTAGATTGTGAGATCTAAGGGTTAGGATTGCATCAAAATTAGGTGCACCAAAATGGTTTGAAAATCATGTTGAAATGCACCAAAAATCTTTGAAAATGCACTATATCAAAATCTGAGCGCAGGATGCAATCTGAGCCTCACGATGCATCGGATCCAAAGGCTAGATTTTATTCTTATTTTTTTCACCAAGGTGCATTCTCACCTGATCCAGCCCCGATATATATATATATATATATATATATATATATATATATATATATATATATATATATATATATATATATATATATATATATATATATATATATAGCATTCTACACAACTTAAATGTTCCATATATAATCCAAACATACTTTTAATTTATGTGTCTCTAAATGCAAGATTATCTAAAAAAATGATTCCACTAATGTATATTGAACAGACGAACCTTCTACCTCGGTATTTATCTAAATATAAAATATATCGAGTGTGTCCACCATATTAATTGACGTACTATTTTCTTACATTTTTTGTAATATCTTATATCTGTAATTAGTTAACACACAAAGACAGTAATTGTATTATTACCCTCAAAAAATTAATAGCATAAGATATATAGATCAATTCTATTATGTCTTTTTTTTAGAACTTCTATTGTGTCTTTTATGCACTTAAAAGTGTGATATGATGAAGTATGTATATAATTATTTCCTAGTTGGAGCATTGTATAGATGATTTTTTGGGAAACCATGTACAGGAACGTTTTCACAGAGTACATTCTTTCTCGAACGTGTTTGATGATGCGAGGCTATAGCCGACGATGATCCCTCTCCTTCTATATCTGTAATAACCATCAT